AGTAATAAAATATCCATAATATCGATAAAATTTATTAAATGATAATTTATAATTGCTGTCCAAAATTTTTAGTCCACCAAATGTTATGCCAATTAACCGATGAAAACAAATTAGTATATTAATTGATAGTTTAAATAAATTCATTATTTTTTTTGTAATATATAATTGTATAAAGTATTATACAAGTGTACAATATAAAAAAGCTAATTGAAATAAAATCTATATAAACTTTTATACAATAATAAAAGTATATTTAATAGCAGTTCAATATATATTTATTATTTTTAGTATTTTTTATGATTATACTGTTTTTTCTTAAATTATAAATGCAAAATACTGTTTTTTCAAACTAACATTAGACATACTGTATGTATCTAAGTTTAGTTTTATAATTAATGTTTTTTATTTATTTTATTAGAGTTGCAAAACTTGACAAAATAAAGATAAACATAAAAATAATTAATTTTACTTTACTTATAATGTTATATTTGCTAATATTTTGTTGTTTACATAACTAATTACTTAAATATATAGATTACTTTAATAAATTAATGTCAGACTATACTGCATATTGATTAAATTTATTCAATAAAAGTGTAGTGGCATATAAATATATTTATAGTAAAATAATAATTATAATTTATAATTTTATAATAAAATTAATTATATTTGATAATGAAGTTTAGTAAATTATTAATACAATAAATAAATTTAATGATATATGATTTAAATAAATTATAAACTATTGTTTGCCACTTGAAGTTGTTTACAAAAAATATGACAATATTAAAGTTTTCATAAAATAAATCTATATATAAATATAATTTCTTGATTAATATCAAACTTGAATACATCCAACATAAATATTAAATATTAAATTTTATGTTAAACTATTGTTTGCCATTTGATGTTGTTTGCAATAAAATAACAATATAATTAAGCATAAATGTAAATAGCTAAACAATAATGAGAAAATAAAACATTAATATATAATTAAATTAAAAACTTATTTTATTAAAATTAAAATATACTGAAATAATTAGCGATTTGTTAAGTTTAGCGAATCCGCCGATTGTGAACCCATAGGACTCTCCATTTCCAACAATTGACTTAAACTGTAGACAATCGGCATATTGTTCATCGTTTAGGTGTCTCCTATCGATACTATCCAATGACTGTCCAATACGTTTGGCACTACTCTCGACAGTACCGCATATAAGACATGTCAATAGTATTTCAGTTATACCCGTTAGGTTAGTCCACATCCATAATACCCACAATGAATAGTTATTATTTGCATATGTATTGTTAACCATCAATACATAGATTTGTGCCATTAGTACAATCAATGAAAATACAATGTTTAGTATAATGATATATTTGTATCGGTTGTCCATTATGTTTAGTATTTTACGTATATTAATAACAATACGTTTGTATTTAGTGATATTAAATATAGGTAACTGATGTTTAGGCGACAATCGAGATGCTAAAAATGTAAAAAAGAAAATATTTATTTTTTAAAACTAGAAAACTATAGACAAATTATTAGTTTATTTTTTACAATTAAATTGTTGTCCAAAATTATCAATATTATCAGCAATAGATTCCATAATATGTGAACATGATATTGATATTAGCCAGGGAAATTTTGCAAAAATCAAAAAGTAAAATACAGCAATTATATAATACAATGACATTTGAGGTGAAATCATGGCAATGTCTATTAGTATTATTACAATAAACACCAAGATGCTTAATATAATTGTCAAATAAAATGTAATGATTATATAAATATAATGCTTAATATTAGAAAATCGACATAAATTGTTTTCAATTAATAATAAATAACGTAATTTGAACAAAAAATCATGAAATTGTGTAGTATTTAATTTAATCATTAACAATGATTTAATTAATACAGTAATTAAATGTGTTAATAAAAATGTACCTAGTATGAATTTTATATTGGGATTTCTAACATATTGACTGTAAATTATTGTTAGTATGAAAATAAAAATAATTTTATAGAAAACATATAAATCAAGAATAATCATAATCAGAGTAATAAAATATCCATAATATCGATAATATTTATTAAATGATAATTTATAATTGATGTCCAAAGTTGACAGTCCACCAAATGTTATGCCAATTAACCGATGAAACCAAATAAGTATATTAATTAATAGTTTAATTAAATTCATGATCTATTAGTATAATATTATCTTATTATATTAGTATTATACAGTAGTACTGATATAAAATAATACAAAATAATAATTTTTAACTTGAAAAAATGCTATCTAAAAGTAACTAAACTATTTGATTATTTATTTTATAGTCTTCAATTTTTATGTAAACTATATTGATTTATTTTTTCATATTTAAATTGCAAATCGTTTTTTATAAATTAAGTCTATTAATATAAACTGATTTTTTGATTAATAAGATTAATGTCAAAGTTTAATACTTTACATATTAATAACAAATAACAAATTTTATGTTACATTTAAACTATTATTTGATCAAATTTGTTATTTTATTTTATTTACATAACTAAATAAATATTTTTTACAATAAGAAATAATTTAATAAAAATAATGTTAAATTATACAATATTGATTATGTTAGACAAATAACAAAGTAAATGTAAAAATGTATTTATAGTAAAATAAAAATCTATAATAAAAATCTAAATATTATAATACACTTTAATAAACAAATTACTTTATTATTATAATTTAATTTTTTGTTATTATAATACAAAATATTCTAACTATTTTTTGCCACTGGACTTGGTTTGCAATAATATAACAATATAATTAAGCATAAATGTAAATAGCTAAACAGTAATAAGAAAAAAAACATTAGTATAATCAAATTTAAAAATCATTTAATTAAAATTAAATAAAAATATATTAAAATTTACTGAAATTATTAGCGATTTGTTAAGTTTGGCGAATCCGCCGATTGTGAACCCATAGGACTCTCCATTTCCAACAATTGACTTAAACTGTAGACAATCGGCGTATTGTTCATCGTTTAGGTGTCTCCTATCGATACTACTTAATGAATGTCCAATACGTTTAGCACTACTCTCGACAGTACCGCATATTAGACATGTTATTAGGATATCGATTAGACCCGATAGGTTAGACCAGATAAACAATACCCACATCGCCGTAATGTTAGTACCTTTGAAAACATTGTTAATCACCATTACATAGATCAGTGACATTAAGGCAATGAATGAAAATATAATGTTTAATATTGTAATATATTTGTATCGATTATCAATTATGTTTATTATTTCCCGTATATTTAGGACAATACGTTTATATCTAGAGATGTCAAAAACAGGTACTCGATAATTGGTTAATTGTCGATTAGCTTAAACAAATATAATATAAAAAAATTATAAATTATCTACAAGGTTAATTAAGTTTACTATTTATTTTATTTTTGTATACAATTAAATTGGCGTTTAAAACTGTCAACATTATCGGCAATTGATTCCATAATATGCGAACACGCTATTGAAATTAGCCAGGGAAATTTTCCAATAATTAATAAATAATATGATTCTAGAATAAAATATAAAGTTCTTTGGTAGGTATATAATTTTGAACTATCGACTAATCTAACTATAATAACCACCAGGATACTTATCATAATTGTTGAATAACATATAATCAATACGTAAATATAGTGTTTGATTTTATTAAATCGACATAATTTATGTTCAATTAATAATAAATAGCGTAATTTATGTAAGAGATCTTGAAAAATTTTAGTATTTAATTTGATCAAGTACAATGGCTTACTTATCATGCCTAGTATATATATTAGTAAAATTGTACCAAGCACAAATTTCATATTATTATTTTGATCATTATATTGACTATAGATAATAAAAACAATGATAATAGTAGCAATTTCAATTAATAAATATAAATCAACAATGATTATAATTGTTGTAATAAAATAGCCATAGAATCGATAATAATTATTAAATGACATTTTATAATTACTATCCAATGTTGTCAGTCCACCAAATGTTATGCCAATTAACCGATGAAACCAAATCAATATATTAATAGATAGTTTAATTAAATTCATTTTTTATTATAGAGCAAAAAAATATTTATTTTCTATATATAAGTTAGTATTTAAAAACTAATTATTTAAATAATAAGCAACTTATTTATTATTATAAATGTATTAATATTGATAAAAGTATATTGATTTTGATGAATATTTTATTTACAGTTGAATTTCTGTACTATTTTTTTTGCAAATAAAATTTAATTCATTAAATGCATTTGTAAATAAATTTAATGTTATATAAAAACTTTTGTATTAATTATAAATAAATTTATTATTTAGATACTTATTTATTTTACATTACCTGTACATAAAAATCCATTACATTATATAAAATGTTAGTAAAAGAAAATTAGCATAATCAAATTAAAGATAATTTTTAAAATAATTAAATTTAATTTTTTAAAATGTTAAATAAATAATCAAGTTTAAACAGATTTTAATTGTATTAACTATTTTATTTTAATAAAACTATTAATGTATCTTAAACAACTAGTTTCAAAATAAATTTAGCTGAATATAATTATTTATTTTAAGTTTTTAAAAAAACATTAGTATCGATCACTATTAATAAAATAACTATAATAATATAAATTTACTTTATAGTATATAATTATTTATATTTACCATTTTATTAAAGACACAATTTACAATATAATTAATTGTATTATTTAAATTAAACAAATCATATATTTAAACAAAAAAATTCAACAAAAATTATTTTTATGTTTTTTATATACATTTATAAATTAATATTTAACAATTATTACAAAATAAAAACAATCTGTGAAAATATTTTAATTAAATAAAAAAATTAATATATATATATATATATATATAGCAAACATTTATATTGTGATATTTTTATTTTTCCTAAATGTTTATAACATATAGTAATGAAAATAATGAATGAATTTATCGACAAAATAAAGTTAATTATATAATATTTTTTAAAAATATAGATATTAAATGTATACCTAAATTTTTATTAAAAAAATGGCGGCAAATAAGTGCCTATTATGGACTATTTGCCTATTTTTTACATTAATTGGTAAATATATATGTTTTAGATTATTATAATTATCATCTTATTTATTATATTAAAATAAATTTTCATACAATAATTTTGTATTATATTTACACCCACTAACTCATCAACAGGTATACTAACGCAAGGGTATGCCGTCAAAGGTCAGTATCCAAATGTAAACTACTTGTGTGCACACATGATAAAAGTGCAGATAATTATTTTAACAACAATTTTATTTTATTTTTATGATTATCATCGGACAGCACAAGAAGGTAAATCATCCAATCAGGTGGCCGTACAGCGTCCGGTCAAACTACAGGTGTCCGATGCAAAACCCGAACCCACACCGCCGTCATCGTCGCTGTTGAAGACACGGGTTGTAGTTGTACATAACAATATGGTACCGGTGCCTATTGAATGTTTTCAACCGCCCGATTCGGGCACCTGTAGCAAAGATTTAGCCCGTATTTACTACGATCACGAAACCCGTACCTGCAAACCGTTTTCCTATACGGGTTGCGGCGGTAATGCCAATCGATTTCAGAGTATTAAAAATTGTTATCGTATTTGTCATCCGTATAGGTATGTTATGTTCAGTGATAAAAAAAACTTTTTAGACTTTTTTTTTGCTAATTTTCTATTCAATCAACAAAAATATATTATTATAGATACAAAATTAGACCACAGGTGGCACACGACCGATCCAATAAAGGTAACCAAGCGCTCAAAATTAGACGGGTACCAGTGCATCCCGTTGGGCATGGCACTCCTCAAGCAACCTATGCTATGGGTCAACAACAGGCTAATTATGGTATGGGTCAACAACAGACTAATTATGCTATGGGTCAACAACAGGTCAATTATGCTATGAGGCCTCAACCGGCCAATTATGCTGTGGCTAATCAAGCAGCTAATTATGGTATGGGACAATATGGTGCACAACATGTCAATTATGGGGTTAAACCTGGTGATCCAAATTGTCCAAAACCAGTAGCCAACTACGCTCGACCTATGCCTCCACCACCTCCTCCTCCTCCACGTCCAACTTTCTGTCCGTCTCCTAAACCTACTTACTGTCCTAAACCAGTAGCCAATTATGCTCAGCCACCACCACCACCACCACCTCCTCCTCCTCCTCCAAAACCAACATTTTGTCCAAAACCAGTAGCAAACTATGCTCGACCACCACCTCCTCCGCCTCCTACACCTCCAAAACCAATTTTCTGTCCGCCTAAACCTACATTCTGTCCTAAACCAGTTGCCAATTATGCGCGACCACCACCACCACCTCCTCCTCCTCCAAAACCGACATTTTGTCCTAAACCGGTAGCAAACTATGCTAGACCGCCACCTCCACCACCCCCTCCAAAACCAACATTTTGTCCTAAACCGGTAGCAAACTATGCTAGACCGCCACCTCCACCACCCCCTCCAAGACCAACGTTTTGTCCGCCTAAACCAACTTTCTGTCCTAAACCAGTTGCCAATTATGCGCGACCACCCCCACCGCCTCCTCCTCCACCACCACCACCACCCACAGCGTGTCCCAAACCACAACCTCCGCCAACATACTGTCCACCTGGTAGTCGACCATTTTCTCAACATGGTCATCGTCCTGGTGGTCATAATTATCATCCATCTAATTACGGTGCACCACATCATTCAAGTTACAATTATATGGGTAATGGCCATAAAAGTCCTAATTATGGAGCCTATGGTGCCGGCCATGGTGCTCATCAACCAAATTATGGTGCTTATGGTACTGGCCATGGAGCTCATCAACCAAATTATGGTGCTTATGGTACTGGCCATGGAGCTCATCAACCAAATTATGGTGCTTATGGTACTGGCCATGGAGCTCATCAACCAAATTATGGAGCTTATGGTGCCGGCCATGGCGTACCTCAAGCAAATCATGGTGCTTATGGTACTGGCCATGGTGTACCTCAAGCAAATCATGGTGCTTATGGTGCCAGCCATGGTGCTCATCAAGCAAATTATGGAGCTCAGGGTAGTGGCCAGGGTGCCGCTCATGCAAATAATGGAGCTCGGGGTAGTGGCCAGGGTGCCTCTCATGCAAATTATGCTGCAGAAAATGCTAGTAAAAAGTCAAAAGGTTGAATCAAAAATAATAATAATTAATATTCATTATAAATATATTATATTTTTAATAAAAATTGTTATTATTTTTAAAGTTATTTTTATTGAGAGTTAAATAAGTAATTTAAGCAATTTTTTCAATATTTACATTATATAGTCTGTTAATACACATATTATAAAGTTTTATATTTATTTTTTAAGACTTACATTAAATATACAAACAATTGTAAATTATTTTATGTTATTAAGTTATTAAATATATCTTTTTGTTAATATAATTATGTTAATCTAAATTTTATTAATATAATTAAAGACTAATATTTATATTTATATAAAAAATATTTACAAACAAAATAGAAATAGCAAAATAACAAATTTAATTTAATTGATTTTATAAAATAAACATCAATTTAATTAAATTTTTATATGAAATTAAGTTGTAGAAAATAAATATAAATATAAAAATTTTATTTTTATATATTAAAAAATTATTTATTTATTTAATTGAAATACAAATTATTTAAAAAATCCCAAAATATTATTTATATTTTTTACTAGTTAAATGTGCAAATTAGAAACTATTTATTAATAATAGACATTTTATTTTTAATTTAATTGTAAATATTTTTTAACTAAATTTTTAAAGAAAGTATTTAATTTATAACAACTAAAAACAATGTGGTATAATTTATGTATAAAACTTATTTTATGGTTTAATAGATTAATTGGCATATCATTTGGTGGTATAATTATTGACACAAATTTTAATATCAAAACAAATAGATTTTATAAATATTACGGTTATTTTATTATAGTAGCTTTTTTATTAATGAATCTATTTATAATGTATACAATGATAATTTGGGCAATTGTTTTACCTAAAATATTTGCTCAATATAATACCAAATTTGTTCAAAAAATTAGCTTGACTATTATCATGGGAATTATATTGCAGGCTGGTACAATAGTATTGATACCACTAAGTTTATGGTACATGAATAATTCATCATGCAAACTAATTATACAATACATTAAGGAATTAATAGCAATTGAACGTAATATTGTTGGTAAATTGAACAAGCTCAGTTATCTATATGTATTATGCACATGGCTAACTATAATTATGATTAGTATCATTGTAATAATTGTGATATCATCGATTGATAGCAGTAATCACTTTTCAATATTTATTATTACCTATTTAGTCATTGAAATTTACTATGGATTAATTTTGAGCAAACTGATCTGGCTAGTTTCCATAGCATGTTCAAACATTTTTAATAGTTTAGCTAGCCAATTTGATGTTAACTATCAGGGTAAACTAAATAATATATATAACTTTTATTTTATTGATTAATTTTCTATCAAACTATAATCTATAATATAATATATTATATTTAATATTATAATAAACATTTTGATTGTGTATTTAGAAAATTCATTGCAAGTTTCCGCAAATAGAAAATTTCCACAAATTGCCCCATTGAAAAAATTAACAATACGCATTAGACAAATCATTGTCGACATTGATGATAAACTAAAATATTTATTAATAATAAAAACCATAACCATGATATATAGTGTAATGGTTCAAATTAATATTATGATATTGAGAAACAGTTTCAGGGATACATCGGCCGCCCCTATGATGACAATGTGGAGCTGGAGTACAATCTCCAGTCTAACCGATTTTATCCTAACATGTCTGACATGGGGCTCAGTTAGCAATAGTGTCGGACGGCTAAGCACTTCATTGGATAGTATAGATAGGAGAGACCTAACCCGTCAGGAATACACTGAATTGCTAATGTTTAAGACAATTGTGGGAAATGGAGATTCGTTTGGATTGACAATCGGCGGGTTCGCCAAACTTAACAAATCGACAGTCATTTCGGTATAAATGATATTTAATTAATTAATAATAATTATAATTTTTATAATTACAATAATTTTTGTCATTATTTTTTACTTGAAATAGATATTTGCATTTATGCTAAATTATATTATTATTTCTATACAGACAACTAACGCTTATAAGTAGATTTGTTGAGAAAAATTGCAATTGTAAATGTAATTCAATATAATTTATTGTAATAACAAACAATATACTCAAATTGTAATTTAGTAATTTCCAAATTATCATTATTTATAATTCAAACTATAAAATGTATAAATACTTTATTTGTTATTTAAATAAAAAAATATTAACAATCAAATAAGATTAGAAAAAATAAAATTATTATTATAAAAAATTATTTATTTATTATTTATTAATAATGATGAATAATTATGTTAATTAAATTATTTAAATTATTGAAAAAATATTGTAATAATTTTTAAAATAAATGAAATTTTTTCTTTTTATTATCATAGTATAAATTATTAATTTTTTTAATTAATATATCAAAATATTAGTTGTACTAAAGCTATTTATTTTAATTATTAAATATATTTTATTGTAAAAATATTTATTTTATTAAATGAGTAAATGCTTTTTATTTTTATTATTTTATGAAGATAAATAAATAAATAAAATTTACTAATATTTCTAACGTAAGTCTAACACAATATACTGTATTTTATTGATTTTTATTATAAATATAATCAAATAAAAAAACATTTATTCATAAAAGTATTTACTTAAGGTTTATAATAATAACTAAACTAAATTTTATGTAAAATATTAGATTTTATAATAAATACAGATAAGTACATACAGTATAATAAAATGTTACGACAAATATTTATTGCAACATTTTTATGGTTTCATCGTTTAATTGGCGTAACATTTGGAGGTATTGTTATCGACAATGCATTTGGTATTAAAATAAACAAATTATACAAATATTATGCCAATATTATTATTCAATTATTACTACTAATATCAAGTTTGATAGTAATATTTGGACTAATATTGCAACTAATAATACAACCCAAGGAATTGATTATCAAAAAAGTTAATCAGGAAATAGTTAGACAAATTAGTTTATTAATGTATTTAGTTATAGTATTGCAAGCATGTTCAATGGTAATATTACCATATAATTTAGTTTGTCTAAATAATTCAGCATGCAAACAAATTGTCGATTACATCAAGGAACTATTGACAATTGAATATGAACTTGGTCAATTAAAGTTACGAAAATATGGATTCGTATTTTATACCTGGATTATTTACATTATTATAACATTTATAGTTTATTTTATGGTTTCGTTTGTATTTACAGATAATCAAATCCCATTTATTTATATGTTTTATTTTGTAATTAGTATTTATTATAAATTTATTTTAACAAAATTCATGTGGATCATTTCAATATCGTGTTCAAGCATATTTGAGCATGTTGCTATGAAAATTAGCAGTGATACGATGCTTAGTAGTAATGGTAATAAAATAATATAAATAATTTTTTTTATAGATATTACTCTAGTTCTTAAAATACTATTATATTATATTTATTGCTTATATGTTATACATATTTTATTATATTATTTTAAATTTATTTAATATTTATATACATATATCTAGATATATTGTCTAGGCAACAAAATTGTTTACGTCAACTACAACATTTTAAATACTTAATTGTTAAAATAAATACAATAATTGTAAATGTTGATGGTAAACTAAAATATGTTCTAACCTTGAACATTTTCTATACAATATTTGACGTAATGGCAAAAATAGGTATTATGATATTGTTTGTACGGTTATCCAGGTCACATTCAGTGACAATGATGTTGATATGGACATGGAGTACAATAGCCAGTCTAACTGATCTGACCATAACATGTCTGATCAGTGGTACAGTTGCCAGTAGTGCCAAACAGATTAGCCATGCATTAGATAATATTGATGGCACAGTCCTTACTGATGAGGTATACAGAGAGTGGTCAATGTTTAAGACAATTGTGGGAAATGGAGAATCCTATGGGTTTACAATCGGCGGGTTCGCCAAACTCAACAAATCGACAATTATTTCGGTATAAATTATTAAAATAAAAACTAATTAATTATATTTTAAATTAATTTTGTATAAAACTTTGTTTATATTTTTTTATGTTATAGATATTTTCATTTATGCTAAATTTTGTTATTATTGTCATTCAAACAACTAATCATCCAATTTATAATTAATAAAAGACATTTATAATTAATTGATTATTGTTATTGAATTATTATTTTGATAATTAATTTAGTTATTTTAAAAATTTTATTTTAATTATAGCATTATATGATATCATTTTTAAAACTTGTGCAAAATTTTGTATTAACACTGTTGTTAGTTTGTATAATTTTAAGTGTAAATTCTCAAATTATTTATTTTTTTAGTAAAATATTTTTTTTAATTAAATTAATTAATTATTAAGAATATTAAGTTTGAAGTTTTTAATTTATTAAATGTATTTAAAATATTTTAATTTAATAAATCATATTTGTATTTTATACAAATTAATCTATTAATATTATTTTTTTTGCTTATATTAACATTTGCTTAAAATATTAATAAATACATTAATACAATATTATTTATTTATTAATATTTAAATAAGAAAATAATATAGTGTAACAAATAAATATATATATATAAGTAAGTTTTTTTATTAAGTTTTTTTTAATATATGAATATAATTAAATTTATATTGATTATCTATGATATTTACATTAAACATAAAATCTACAATTCAAATAAACATTTTATTAGCAATTCAATAATAACAATATTTAGTAATATTAATAAATATAAAATTAGAGTATATTTGATTGAATAGTAAGTAAAATAGTTGACAAAAATTTTTAATAAAAAAATACATTTCTTATAATAAAAATATGGATTTAATTCGACTAATTATTAATATACTTATTTGGTTTTATCGGGTAATTGGCGTATCATTTGGTGGATTATTAGCATTGAATGACCAGTATCAATTAAAATACAATAAATATTATCGATTTTATGGATACTTTATTACAACATTTGTAATTATTGTAGATTTATATTTTCTATGGACTTTAGGTCATTATTTTATAGTAGTATTAATTTACGATAAATAT